GGCCGGCAGCGGTGCGGACTCAGGTTTCCCCGCCGGCTGGCACCTCACGTGCGATGATTATTCTGCTTGCTGAGGACGTCGAGCAAGACGGCGAGGACGTCCCTCCACCCCTTGTCGCCGACCTGCTTAAGTCGACACCCACGACGGCCACCGGCGCTGAGGGGAGCATTGGTGCCTTGCCTACGGCGCGGCTAGTGGCATCACCGGAGGCCGAAATGACGTAGGGAAGGTTGTCAACGAAGGGGAGAAGTCGGCAGGGGAGCCAACGCTAGGGGAGCAGTCGCCAGAGGCGCCGACAGGAGAGCAACTCGACGACGGCTCGTCAAGCGACGTCATGGAGGTCATCGGTGGAGCCGACGACCACGATGGGGAGCTGTCGACAGGGGAGCAGTCTAGCGACAGCGACGTGGTGGAAGTGCCGGTCGACGAGGTGAAACCGCGACATTCCGCCCGCCCCAACCTCGGCAAGGTTCCAGAGCGGTGGAGCCATGCTTGCCAGCCGAAGCCAGCCTATAGCATGCTCACAACGTGCAGGTTGACGTCGACCTACCCGAGCTCGACGCCGACGTGCACGCCGACCCGGAGCATCGTTGGGACATCACGACCATGACGGCCGAGGGGGCGTTGGCGAGCTGGAAGGGCTGAAGAACCGCTGGGTGCTGATGACGAAGTACGATGTTGATGACACGGTCGCCAACGAGAAGGCGCGTCTGGCCGTAAAGGGCTTCACGCAGGTCTACGACGTCGCCTACGACGAGACGTACGCGCCGGTCGAGAGCTACGTCACGCTGAGGATCTTCCTCAGCTTCGTCGCCGTGTTCGACCTGCACCTCATGCAGCTTGACATAAAGAACGCCTTCCTGCAGAGCAAGCTCGACCGTGTGCTCTACATGGACCAGCCCGACTACTACAACGACGGCACCGGCCTCGTCTGCAAGCTGCTGAAGAGCTTGTATGGCCTCAGGTAGAGCCCCCTGCCATGGTACTTGGACCGGAACCGGCTGGAGCAAGAGCCAGGTCGACGAGGCCCTCTACTTCAAGGCCGGCGACGACGGAGTGGCGTGCTGGGTGCTACTCTATGCGTACGAACTTCTTGCCGCCAGCACCAGCACCGCGATGATGAAGGACTTGCGCGAGCTGCTGGAGAGCCCCTTTGAGCTGCGCGAGATCTCGCTGGCGAGAAGTACATGGGGCTGGAGATTGTGTACGACCACCCTGCGCAGAAGCTGTGGCTCCACCAAGAATCCTACGTCGACAAGCTGTGTAGGCGTTTCATCGACGAGGAGCAGACTGGTCAGCGTCCGAAGACGCCGGTCTTTGTCAACGCCTATGCCGAGCTGACGTTCGACGACGAGGAGTTTCATTCACGCGAGGAAGAAGAGTAACGGCAGGAGGTCGGCTCGTTGCAGTTCGTTGCAACGACAACTCAGCTCGACATAGCCGTCGCGCACAGCAAGCTGGAGTCCGGTGTGACGGTGAGGAGTGACCAGCATTGACTACCTCGCCGACCCACATGACGTCGTCCTGGAGTTCGGCGGCGGACCTGAGTCGATGCGTCTGGTTGGCTACGCGGACGCCGATGACGTCAGTGACAAGCAGACGCACAGCAGCACGAACGGCGATGTCTTTGTCTTCGGTGGGGCCGCCGTCTCCTGGATGAGTCAGTGCATCAAATGCGTGACTCTGTCATCGACGGACTCGGAGTACATCGCGGCCACCGAAGCCGGCAAGGAGGCTCGCCGCCTTCGCTTCCTCCTCGCCAAGTTCTAGCTGCTCGACGCTGGGACGCCGACTATCCTGAACGCGGACAAATAGATGGCTATCGCGGTCGCCGAGGGCGTGGGCCGGAAGGGCAACCTCAAGCACACGGAGCGACGCTACGTCTGGTTGCAGCAGATGGTGAAGCGCAAGAAGGTTGCGCTGCAATACATCCCGACCACCGAGCAGTCGGCCGACTTCCGGACAAAGCGCTGCACTTTCCGGCATTCAACCGGTGCTCCGTTACGATCGGTCAAGTGCGTCTGGCCGACGTTGGCGACGGCCACAACGACGTGCAGCAATAGGCGCCATGCCCTTTAGCATGGCTGGTGCGGTGAACGGTGTGCTGTGTGTAGTGTGCACGCCGACGACTTTCTCCTTGTACTATACCCTCTGGGTTCTGGGTGGACCTCGTTTGTGGGTGCCCAAGCGTGTGCTGTGCAGGGGAGTGTTGACGAGAAATGGTCCCGCCCTCGCTTGGGCGAAGCCGACCTCGCAGTCGGGTGTTCAGCCGGCAGCCTGCAGTGGTAGACGTCGACTTTGGGAAGGAAGTCGACAGAGGACGTCGACCTCCTTGTTGGGACCATTGCAAAGTCGCCGACAAGGTGAAGTCAGCAGACGGCTTCGGCCTAGGTGGTCGACAGGGGAGTTTGTCGACCTGCAGGCGTTGACCGACTACCAGGTCGGCGCCAACTTTGGGGCTTCACCGGTCGACCAAGTAACTAGGGTGACGAAGTTCTGCAGGGTGCGCGAACGTTGTCCTGGAGGCATTGGTGAAGTCGACCTGTGGCCTGGTATCTCAAGGTCGGCGTGGTGCATCGGGCGCAACTGCCGGCACGTAGACGACTTGGCATCTGCGTGATGCACGAGACGGTGCACGGCGTGCTCGATCGTTGACCTGCGTGTGCGCGCATGCTCGTATAGTCACCTGGAGGTGCAATGCTGCTAGGCCGCCCTGCTGCAGCGTTGGCAAGCCGCCTTGGTGCAATGCTGGCAGATTGCCGCCTTGCAGTGTTGTCAAGCCGCCTTTGACTCCAATCGTGTGTGCATCTAGATTCTGAATTCCGAATGCTATAGTGCGGCATGTTTGCTTGGCTATGAAGTCACAACTTTGATATGCACAGTATATTTCCACTTGCATTTTCTTTGTTACCACTCATCCCATACATACGCATTGCTTTCTTGGTCAGACAGCCACCCCAATCATAACATGCAGGCACATTGCGTCACAATTCGCTATATTGTTTTAGGTCGTATGAAAAAATCTAAAAATAGATATATACGAACGACCCCTTATTTGGAACAGTGCATTTATTCCTCTATATTTATCCATAATTTGCCAACTCCATCCCAGGCTTCAGCGGCACCCACCCCACCCCATCTTCGAAGGCACATTTTTTGGCTTGGCTCAATATGGCTCTTGAGTCCACTAACACAACTTCTCCCATCCCTACTTCTTGCTCTTGCTGTACCTAAATTCCCAAATCTCTCTCTTTATGTCAACTCAGAACAAGTAAATCAGAAGTTGCAATGTAAATGTCATGGCAATGAAGACCCACTTAAAAAAAATATAAAAAAAATAAAAAAAAATAAAAACACGCACACATTTTATTACACACATCCGTATTCAGCTAATCCTATGTAGTTTATCCGGCCGCATAACGGAAGGAGGGAGGTATTCGACCACACTTTTCTGGAATCGAAGTATAGTACCCACCTTGTCACACATCGACTCCCCTTGCCGTCAGATCTGAGCCAGCTATCACAATTCCAGGGAATGTACCAGCTCATGGAACAGCTGCTTGCAGCAAGACTCAGCAGTCCTCGTCACGGCTCCTTTTGAGACAAGCCGGTTATTTAGAGATTTCAACAACCAACTCAACTAGCCCCAGGGAACGTACCCGCCCATAAAACAGCTGCTTGCAGCAAGGCTCAGCAGTCATCTTCACGAGTCCTTTTGGGAGAGAGCATCCTTCCAAGGCCCTGGCTGCTGCCCAATCCATGATTCGCCATTGGTGTCTCCCTTGCTACACTGACAATCCTGCCTGCAGTGACTGCCTCTGCACCTTCTGTGGCTGCTGCTTCTCCTGATTCTGCCGCTGGTGCCGCTGCTTTTGCTGCTGCTGCTGCTGCTGCTGCTTCTGCTGCCGCCCCTGCTGCTGCCGCCCCTGCTGCTGCTGCCCCTGCTACTGCTGCCCCTGCTGCTGCTGCCCCTGCTGCTGCTAATCCTCCTGATTCTTCTGCTGCTCCACCTGTATGTGCCCGGCCTCCTGTCCCTACCACCACTCGTGCTGGGAAGAATGGTTCTGGCAGCAACAGAGTCTCATGCCCCTTGGACCACATGCCATCACTGCCACCAGTGGTATTGGTAGTGGGATACGCAGCCATGGCCGCAGCAGTCCCCTCCTCTGGTGCTAAGGAGACTCCAGACCCATCACGCATTGGCGTGAACACGGAAAATCTCTGTTCCAATGCTGGTTCCAGTGGTACGGATGGTGCCGGTCCTGTGAATAATCCCACTTGTTCACCTGCAGTTGTGTCGCCAGCACGCGTCAGATAGGTGGTGCTATGATAACCATTGCTGTTGTTTTGATCGTTGTTGAGAGGGAGCACGGCGCGGCAGTCTATGCTGCTACCGGAGTGGTGGCTGAACCCACTGACCATGCTGCTGCTGATTTCCATGTTGTCGTCCTCATCCACATCTAGTAGAAGTGCCTCCAGCTCCTCTAGTTCCATCCCATGTACCGACGTCATCATATCATCTCCTCCTTCTCCTCCTTCTCCTCCTTCTCTTGCTCTCATAGCTGCCCCTGCTGCTGCAACTCCCACTCCTACTGTCGCCACCACTGCACCGGTTGGTTCTATCTCTGCTGCTGCAGCTCCCACTGTTGTCACTGTTATTCCTGAACCAGCTGCTACCCCTGCTGCTTCTACCCCTGCTGCTTCTACCCCTGCTGCTGCCACTCCTGCTGCTACAACTCCCACACCTGCTGTCAAGCTTTCTTCTCCTTGATCCATCCCCGAACCCTGTGCTCCTGTGCCCCAGCTGCTGCTACGGATCATTCCCTCCAAGCCACCCCATTGTCCCATCCTCTCTCCTTCCACCTCTTCTCCAGCCACCTCCGTTTCTCTGATCTCCCACACACTTGTATGCAGAAGGTCGCTAAAATACCTCCCATACAGCCTTCCTTGCCCTCCCTGTCCCTCCAGCTCCTCATGCATCGACTGGGATCGGTGATACTCTAGGCTGTGGGAGGCGCGGAAGGGCGTTTCAAACTGGTTGATACCTTCACTGGGAGCCCGAAGTGGTAGAGAGACAACGGGACAAGAAACACTTCTCTGCCATGGAAGATCAGGACTGAGTCTCTGCTGTTGAAGTGTTTGATGCTGGTTGTAATCAGCAGCATGCTGCTGCTGCTGCTGCTGCTCCTGCGTCTCCTGATGATGCTGCTGCTGCTCATGCTCCTGCGTCTCCTGCTGATGCTGCTGCTGCTGCTGCTGCTGCTGCTGCTGCTGCTGCTGCTGCTGCTGCTGCTGCTGCTGCTGCTGCTGCTGCTGCTGCTGCTGCTGCTGCTGCTCCTGCGTCTCCTGATGCTGCTGCTGCTTCTCCTGCTTCTCCTGCTGATGCTGATGCTGCTGCCGCTGTTGATTCTCCACCCCCTTTTGCTGCTGCTGGCGTTGCTGGTCCTGGTACCATTTATTTCCCCCATGCTGTCCCTTGAGCCTTTTACCCCGCTGGGCTCCTGCTGATGGTGCTACAGAGGGTGCTACAACTGTATGCGATGGTGCCACAGAGAGTGCTACAGCTGCACGTGAGGACGCATCGAATGAAAGCGCACGTGCTATCCTCAGAGACCTTGCTGCTGTGCTGTCCTGAAAACCTCTAGACTCAACTCTGTGAGCTAACTCAGGAGTAGCACAAGGAGCAACACCTGTTGGGACCACACCTGGTCCTGGCCCTCCCAAGGGTTGGGGTTGAACCAAATGAGCCGCAGCGGCAATGGCAGCAGAAGCAGCGTCAGGGGCAGGTGGAGAAACAGAAGGAGCAGTGGCGGCAGCAGCACTGGAAGGAGCAACAGGAGTGGCCCTAGGGGAAGTTCTGGTAGCAGGCGTGGTGCTGGTGACCTGAGTTCGCAAGAGAGAGTTGAGAATGTCAGCTAGCTCTTGGAGATCCTCAACACGGATATCTGGATCTGCTGACCTGTCACCTTCTTCACCTGAACCAGCAGTACCAGCAGTACCAGCAGCAGCTGCAGCAGCCGTATTATCAGCAGCAGCAGGAGAAGCTGCACCGGTCGGCCCTTGCTGTAGGTCCCTCTGATGCTGGGTAGTGGTTACCTGCTGCTCCTGCCTGCTTGTCAGCTTCTGCCAGTTCGTTTTCTTCTTTCTGGTCGTTTGTTTATGTTCCACGTGCCAACGTACCTGCTCTTGGTCACCCTTCTCCTGCTCCTCCTGCCCGTCCTCTTGTCTACTGTCCAGTTCTACCCTCCAGTCCAGTTTATCCGCCATTTCCCTCTTCTTCTGCTCCTTTTGCATCTGCTGCTCCTCTTCCGGTTGCTGCTGCTCTCCCATTCCATGCCCGCCGTTCACACCACCGTCACTTCTGCCACTTCCAAACGGCTTTGATTCAAACAGATAGTGCTTGAAAGATGGCAAGTTCTCTGGGCAGAGCGGGCCCTTCAAGAACACCCCTGCTTGTCTGCTGCTTTTCTTCTGCTTGTCTGCTGAGCTGCTGCTTTGCTTGTCTGCTCCCACTGCTGCTCCTGTTCCTTCTACCTCCATTGGTACTGCTTCGACTGCTGCTCCCTCTGCTGCTCCTGATCTTGCCAGCTTTGCCACTATTGATGCGTCTTCCTCCTCCGCACCTACAGCTGATTCTCGGTTTGCCACGACGCGGCTCTGCACATCAACGGGCATTGCGCAGCAAGAGGAGTTGGGGGACAGGCTGCTAGCGAGGGAATTTGGGGAGTTACTCCTCGGAGAATCTAGTGAGGGAGAAACACCTCTAAAGTTCACGCCATGCACTGATAAACCTGCATGGTACCCTGCCACTGGTGTCTCTTCGTCCCTCTCTGGTTTTCCTTTTGGTGAAGGAGCCCCACACAGCTGCTGCATCACATTCGTCTGCCGTTCCACCATCTCATGCCGTGACACCATCGCTTGTGCTACCACAGCTTGCTTTGCCACCATCGCTTCCTCCTCCGCTGTCAGGGAGCTTCGCTTGAGCACCCGCACAACCACCCATGACGTCATGCCGATCTTTCGATCACTGCCAGGTTCGGTCTTTGGACTGATAGCTTTGGGGCTGCTGCTACTGCTCCTGCCCAAGCCACCAACTACATCACCACGTGCACCAGTGTCTGGGTGTGTCGCTTCGTTTGTTGTGCTGCCGGTCCGGCCTATGGCAGTGCCACCAGCTGCAACCACACCAGGTGCGGTGCTAAGTGTAGCAGCTGCTGCTGGGTCTGATTCGCTTGCTGCAGATGTAGCACGTGCCACGGCTGTAGCAGCAGGTCCAGCTTCAGGCGAGTCCTCTGCCAGCCGGTACTCGTGCATGACCCAGTCGGTCTTGTCCCCTCCTGGCGCTCGGCCCCTGTTGCCCACACCAGCAAAACGACAAACAAGGATTTGGAAGACTCAGCAAAACAAAGGACAAACAAGCGTAACTCAGCCACTCAAACACGATCCAAAGACCCCTTTTTTTTTATATATCCAACGACGAACATGACAACAACAGGCAGACCGAGACTCAAACAAACAACCTGGACACCTGAGACCTACATAAAGACAGTGGGGCTGCTGATGCCTGAGAGGCGGCGATCAAGATGCTGCAGAAATGAACTCACATATAAAAGACATGAGTCTTTTTTATTCCAGCTCTGACTGTCTGCTCCCCTTTGCCTTTACCACCACTGCTGCCTGTGAGGCGCACGTGCACTGGCCTGTCCTTTCCAGTGGCCTTCCAGTACCCAGCAGTTGTGGCACGGTTGGACCGGGACCCTGATGGGTACTTGAGGTCGCGGGATGTGAAGAAGAACCACTCGCCGTCACCAGAAAATAGGGCACACTGCTTTATCTGGGAGTGGAGGAGAGGGAAAGGTGAAAGGGGGAGAGAAGAGGGAGAAGGAGATTTGATTGAGGTCGGAGGATGTGACAAAGAACCACTTGCTGTTTGCAAAGATTGGGCATGTTGCTCTGGATGGGAGTGGTGCAGAGGGAGAGAAGAGAGCAGAAGAGGAGAGGGAAAGGAATAGGGCAGGTGGGAGTGGAGGAGAGGGGATGTTGCGATGGGGAGAGGGGAACTTGAGGCCGCGGGGGATGCAAAGGAGAGCCACTTGTTTTCAACGATTGAATATGTTCAGAGTAAAGCCGTGGATGGAGTTAACGATTAGATAGGCATGGGGGAAGGGGTGCTTGAGGGCTTTCAACACAAAGAGCCATTCGACATCGGCAGCAAACAGCCTTGTTTGCTCCAGCTGTAAACGGAGGGGGGAGACAATGGGAAGATCAGAGGGACAGAGGGGTCTTGCAAGCAATGCAGGCCGGATTTTCTCTTCGCTGTGGGGCTTGATTTTCTCTGCCTGGTATTGGATTGAGGGGGAGAGTTTGGAAAGGAGAGTGGAGTTTTTCTGAGGTCAAGAAAACCAGCTGACGTCGCTGGGGTTTTATGCTCTGGCAGTTAATAAGGCAGGGAGGGTGGATGAGGCGAGGAGGGAGCTTCTTTCTATCTGCACCAGAACCATTTTATGGGGGACTTATAAATGCTGACAGGTGGGGCTTGGTCACTGGATTCTACTATTGAATCGAATGGGAGAGATCTGAAAGGCATCTACGAAAAGTGTGGCTCTGAAATGCAGCCGGGTAACTGAAGTATCCCCTCAGGTTCTTTCTAGACTCTTTAAAACGTTCTAAAGGGTTCTTTCGCCAAATCCGTGCCACCCAACCGTAAACTATTCCCCAGGCCGGGGGATGAGTGGTACTTCAGATGCAGTGGCCTGGTGGCACGTGAAAAACTGACAATGCGAGGTGCACCATTCAACATGGGAGGGTGAGAGCCTCCCAAAAAGCATGGAGATATACCTGGGAGTTCCCATGGTTCGAACTTGTACATATCCACGTCACCAATCGCATTCCAAGCAATGGGAAGGCCCTCCACGCGCCGCCTGAGGTAATAACACAGCAGCTCCTCGTCTGTAGGCCGGAATCTAAATCCTGGCGGGAAACCATCTCCAAGAATACCGAGAATACTACTAGTAGTAACAGTAGTGGTTTCCATCGAAGTTCTCATTACTACTTTAAATTTCCTGCCAATAACGTAGCAGTGCTGAAATGAAAGCCCAGTTTTGAGAGTATGAGCGTATATGGGCGGCAAGTGCCGCTCGGATACTCGGGCCTTACAGCTACTGAGCATCTGCGGACAGACCACACTGGGGAAGGGAGCATGTTTCTTGGTTTGGCTTGGGTTGGGCTTGTTTGGGTTGGCTAGAATTGGGTTGGGTTAAGCTGGGTTGGGTTGGGCTGTGTTGGTTGGATCAACCAAATTACAAATGATGCTCGCGAATCCGCCCACACTTTTCACCCACACATACACCCGACACTCCAACTGGTCGGGTTTTACTAGTAAAGACCCGATCGTTACAACCCAATCGACCCTCACCAACCCGCTAAATTACGAAACTTTCGTGGAAAAAAATAAGTGTAGCTATACATATTTCATTGGCACAATTGCCGCTGCTAACCCGAATGCTCTGAAAATACCGATTTTGCCCTGGAAACGAAATGCTCGAGTGAGGCTTATTTGGAAAAACAATGGCCCCTGGAAGAGGTTCAGGTGTACAAAGCTTCGCCAAATGCACGTACGGTTCTGCACTGTAAAACTGGCTCACTCGCATGAAATCCCATCATGCAGCCACTACAGTCCAGCACTGCGCTCCGAAATCTTTCTGCTGCATGCGATTGGTTGCTGGCTGGCTTGCTGGTTGGCTGGCTGGCTCGGCCGCTCTCCAAGCTTGGGTTTCTCACATGGCAGGAAGGTCACATGCCGCCAGCTTCCGTATGTATGATTGGCTGAAGTAAAACATCGGTCAATACAGCAGGCACCCTCGATTGACTCGAAGCTGCGTTCGCCGTCCGACCACCATGGCAGCTTCCTCCCAGGTGTACGATTCGGCAGTCCAGTACAGCTTCGATCAATCCAAAATTGCTTGGAAAATGAGGGGACCCCCCAAGGTCACCCTCACGGGGTGCCCATTTTTTTGGATTGTGCACTACTGTAGTTTGCTCTTCGACTGCCACGTAGGAGGCAAAAGTCAGCTACCAACACGATGATGATACGAACGGGAAAAGAACAGCACTTAGGCAATCAGCAACGGAGTCTGATCAGGTCAGAAAAGAGAGAGAGCTTGCGTTTACAACTGCGCTCAAGTGCTACAGTTCGAAATGTTACGCTAAACAGTGACAAATTGGTACTGTGCCACCAGAGTCTCCAATTGGCTGGCGAGGTAGGCAAAGGCAAAGGAAAGCGATGGTGTGAATGTCGCTCGCGAATCTCAAAAGCAGGGGAAGGTGGCGGAGGAAGGCGGGGAGGTACAATTAATGCCCATTACAAGAACACCCGGTATCCGAGAGGCACATGCGTGAAAAGGGTTTCAACGTTTCACTTATTTTGCACTCGTCTCCACGGGCAAATTGTGATTGTACAGTGAAAGTGCAATGAAAGTGGAAAGTGGGATTTCAAATTTCAAAACCAGGTGAAACAGTGAAAGTGCAATGAAAGTGGAAAGTATGTTTTCAAATTTCAAAACCATGTCAACATTTCTTATGACGTGTGCGACGAGCAACCATTATTTTTTATGACCTGTGCATGTTAACTTCCGCAATTTGGTGTTATACCCTATAATTCATAACAACCTTGAGGGGTAAAACGCGGGAAAATGCTGGAAAAAAAACATGCATACTCCGCCCATCGACCGAGATTTTGCATGGATTTGTTTTTGCGTGTTTGTCGTAGATTTGGCCTAGATTGAGCCTTGCGCGGGTGAGTAACTTATAAATTTATCCCCCCACTGAAGCGCTGGCGAAATGCTGCAAGCGGAGTTACCGTGTCGTTAACGGCCTTTGAATGGAATTTTCGCTTGGACGCGTGTTCTGCAGACTGACTCTGAAATATGATTATTTAAGCTATACAGGATTGAAAATACCATTCACAAAATGTCAAAACATTGATTTTTTTATGTCATTTTTTTCCTTGCAAGTGGATTTATTTTATGTCATATTACCATCATTTGGTTGAATATGGTGCAAATGAGTGAGGGAAATTATGATTTATGGTCGCAATTTACATTTTAGTTTCCAATCTTGGGGGCAACATAATAGCAAGTTTTGTAGTTATATTTCATTGTAAGTTGAATTCATAGGATCTTCTCAAGAACCTCAACAAGCTGGCATGATTTAGTTTTTTTTTTTTTCATTTTTGTTGATTTATTCACATTTGGCTACTCTATGTTTGGTTCTAATACTTGACAAGTCATTTGCTGGCTATCATGTAAAGTTTAACATTCTGACCGCTAAAATTTCCATTGTTTGTATTTCTTACTGCTGCTGTGATATGGCATGGAAGCTTGTTCCACCATCGACTAGGAAATGTATGAATGGAAGCTGGTTCCTTTAGCTAGGTTATTTACTTAGTCCTCCTTTTGTTCTTGCTTATTATTTTGTGGCCCAAACTCTCTGATTTTTATATGGTAATCTATTATCACTTGTTCCTGTCTCTCCACAAAAAATCAGCTCATTAAAAAAAAGACACTTATGTAAATTATCGCGCCTACTACCTGTGGGTTTCTGCAGTTCCTTCTTGAAAACCATCTTAGCCTACTCCAAATCATCTTATTTTTCATCTAGGAGTCTCCTTGCATCATCTCCACGTTACTGACCAGGTTTCAGCTCATTTGAACAAGGTTTGGTTGGGTTATCGCAGCACTATTCTACCTGCCAGCCATCACACATGGGTTGCGTTGCCTGTCTTGCAGTTCCTTCCTGGAAACCATATTAGCCTACTCCAAATCATTTGATTTTCATCTCAGAGTCTCTTTGCATCCTTTCGAGGGTACTTGTCAGATTTATATGACATAGCTACTGTAGGCTATAGTGGGGTAGCACATATGGGGTACAGTTTTCTAGGGTTTACATTTGTACCCAACTTTCCCTTAGTCAATTCATTCTCGTTCAGTTTCTCATGGTATCGAGCAGGTTCCCCTGTGGGAACTGTTTCTAGGGCCCACCACCTTTTTTTTTTCCTGCCCGGAGCGCGCTCTACACTGCCCGAGTCGCGCTCCCCTCTCTCGACCCTGTCGCGCCGCCTTAGCGGCCCCGTCGCGTCGCGCCTGCGGCCCCGTCGCGTCGCCCTCGCGGCCCCTGCACGTCGCGCCGCCCTAGCGGCCGCGTCGCGCCGCCCTCGCGGCCCCGATCCGCCGCCCTCGCGGCTCCTTCGTGTCGCGCCGCCTCGCGGCCCTTTCACGCCGCCCTCGCGGCCTCTTCAAGTCGCCCTCGCGACCCCCCCCCCCCTCCTAGTCGTCCTTGCGGCCCCGTCGCCTACCCCTGCGGCCCCGGCGCCGCCCTTCCCTGCCTCGGCGCCGCCTCTGCTGGCCCCGTCGCCTACCCCTGCGGCCCCGGAGCTGCCCTTCCCGGCCCCGGAGCTGCGCTTCCTGGCCCCGACGCCGCTCCACCCGGCCCCGACGCCGCTCCACCCTGCGTGCTCTGTCCCGGGTGATCTGCAAGCCAAGGTAGCTGCGCAGTTCACCCAGGTCTGTGCACGTGTGTCTCTTCTGCAGCTCGGACTTCACGTGGGCGAGTCCAGCAGTGTCAGCTGTGGCAAAGACCAAGTCGTCGACGTACACGAGGATGTAGAACGGCGGCAAAGAAGTGTCGATGCGCAGAAACAGCGACGGGTCGGCAGTAGAGGGAGCAAACCCAAGAGCCGCAAGTGTAGTCCTCAGTGTGTCGTGCCACTCACGCGGTGCCTGGCGGAGACCGTAGACTGGCCGCCGGAGGCTCCACTGGGTGCCAGGAGGAAAAGACCCAGTGAAGCCAGGTGGGCGACGCAGCCAGATCTCCTCGTGCAGGCTGCCCTGCAAGAAAGCAGTGCTGAAGTCAAGAGAGTGCAGCTCGTAGTCGCGGTGAGCAGCTATGTG